CTCCAACACCCCACATAGCTTAGCACCAACTCCCTGCCCACCCCTCCCATTAGTGTCTTTTTGTCAGCTTCACTTAGGCAAGTTGATGGCAAAGGAGATCTTCAAATCATACCAAAACTGTACAATTTCATTAAGTTGGGGAGAGTGATGTTGGAGAACCCTGGGGTCCCCCCCAAGGGGCTGATGAATTGAGGCTCTATTTGGCTGAGTCAGCCCCATTTAAACAAAGAAAACCCAAATGTGAGAAAAGTGCTTCAGAAGGAAGGGATTTGAAAGTCATAGAATTCAGTGGCCTGAGGAACATAGGTGTACATGATGAAGTCTTTGAGTAGTTAGTGCCTGGAAGGGCCTAGTAAAGACCATCAGGCATTTTTATGGGAAAGCCACACCTCCCCAAATTGACTTTTTTTGCATTATAAGTATTAGCACATTAGTTCATCCAAGAATTACACATTAACCTAAATTTTGTTGCATGGAAGATAAAATGTATGTAATTTCTATGTATTTTCATAGCTTTAATATCGTTTTTCAAAATAAAATCCTATCTGGGAGCGGAGTCTAGGACACCACCTTATCTGGGGGTGGAGTCTAGAACATCTCCCTATCCTGGGGGCAGAGTCTAGAACATTTCCTTATCCCAGAGATGGAGTCTAGAACAGGGCTCAGTTACTTTGTACTGAATGAATGAGGGAGGACATAGGGAGGGAATGGAAGATCCTAGTGATGCCTGTCCAACCCTGGACCAGCTCTGGCTTGGGACCCTCAAGGGACATCATAGAACTGGGCAGAATCCCCCTGAACCTACAGTGCTCAAATTCGCCTGGAGGTAGGCGCTGTCACCTCATCCATCTGGTCTCTGCTGGGGATCAGAGGCTCTGTAGAAAGCCCAGTGTCTCTCCCTGCTCTGCCCTCCATCACTGCCACCTTCCACTCCAAACCGGGCTGCCCCAGTCTTTTTCCCTGACCTGCCTTCCGGATGCAGAACTCTGAGCACTGGTGATACCTCTGGAAGAAATGGCCTCATTCGCTTTTGCCTTCCTCTCAGGGGCGGTGCAGTAGTGAGCACAATTCACTCAGGCAGGAATGGGAGAGCACCACAGGGGCCATATGCAGCTCCAAGGCACTGAAGTGTTTTTAACTCCTCACAAGCCCATGTAGAAATGAGAGGCTCAGAGAGGGCATGGAAGCTCCCAAACTCATGTCATCCCCACGGGGCAAAGCTGGGGTGGGCCTCCCCCTTTGTTTTTCTATCTCGCTCCTCTGGTTACTAACGCAGAGACCCCTCTGACAACTACATACATGCAGCTGAGCAATTCTGGGAACGTTTCCTCCCCTCTCCAGGCCTCTGTTTTCTCCTCTGCAAAATGGAGATGTGTCTCTAGTTCACAGAACCAAAATACACAGGGCCTGGCACATAGTAAGTGCTCAATAAATGCTGGCTCTGTACTCGCTAATGGGAGGTCTGCTGCACACCGTACACACTGCCTGTCTGCAAAAGATGAGCTGTTTAAGAATGGCCTGGAGCCCCAGGAGCTGGTCAGCAGAGGGGCGGGCTGGGTGGATGCCTGACTCTGGCTCTGCACTAGCCAAGGCACTGCAGCCCCTGTCCTCAGTTTCCTCTGGGAGCTGGGAGCTGGGCACAGAGATATGTTGCTAATGAAGCGAACTGCTCTCTTTGCCTTCTGTTGAGTGTGAGCAAACACAGCCTATTCCCTCGGGGTACAGGACCTTATCTGGAAATAGATCCCTTCCCTTTCCCTGTCTCCCCCCATCACCACCCCCACCCCCCTAACTTTGACCTATGAGAAAGCAGAGGGGAAGCTTCAGGCCAAGGCCACACAGCTGCAGAACTGGACTTAAGACCCCAGAGGAGGGGGAGGATATTCCAAACCCAAATGCCTTTGGAGGTTAGTCAGGAGATTAAAATATGGATAGAGAACAATAGGTAGTGGCAGGGGCTGCAAGAATTTAGATTCCATAAAGGCATTTCAACTCTAATTTTCAAACTCATTCCTCTGCCCTCCAAAGGAACAGCCCCAGCAGCCTGGAGTCCATCTTGGAGCAGCAACACTGTACCAACATTGTCCTTACAGGGTGCCTCTGCTGCACTGTGGGCCCTCCCCTCCCTCGGCCTCCTTCCTGCGCACAGCTAAGGATGACAAGCAGGGTCTCATGAGCGCCGGCTCTGCTGACAGTGGCCCCTGATCAGTTCCCGGTTCTCCTCTGAGAAGCCCGAGGCCCTCCCAGCCAGTAGCACTTAGAGCAGTTTTGGGATGTGTAGACCAACAGCCAGCTTGGTCTTGCTTAGAAGCCTCCCCTGACTAAAGCAGACAGGGCAGTCACTATTCAAATCCCAGCTCAAGTATCACCCCCTCTGGGAAGGCTCCCCTGAATTCCTTGACTGGACCAGTGCTTGTGTTCCACAGAGCACTTCTCACAGGTAACTTCCGCCTTGCAACCCAGAGCCTAACTTGATATCTGAACCACAGTGGGCATCCAATATATGTGCATGGAATAGGTCCATAAACTAATCTGCTGTGTGATGTGACTTCACCTCTCTGATCCTCAATTCTCAGCTGTAAAATGAGTTATGATGAGGGAGCATTCAGAGAATGCATGGAGTGTGAGGCTGAATAATGGCTCACAAAGATATCCAGGTCCTAATATCTGCAACCTGCAAATGTTCCCTTATATGGCCAAGAAAAAAGGGTGGCAGTCTTTGCAGATGTGATTAAAGTAAGGATCTTGAGATGGGGAGATTATCCAGGTGGCTCTAATGTAGTCACAAGGGTACTTCTAAGAGGAAGCAAGATGGTCAGGGGAGGAAGTAGGGGATGAGACAACAGAAGTGATATTTCCTCGCCTTTTCCAGCTTCTGGAGGTCACTAAGAGGTCAGGAACCACGAATTTCAGGTGGCCTCCAGGAGCTAGAAAAGGCAGGGAACAGATTCTCCCTTGGAGCCTCCAGAAGAAGCAGGCGCTGTTGACCCCTTGACTTTGGCCCAATGTAACTGATTTTGGCCTCCTGACCTACAGAATTGTAAAGAATAAATGTGTGCTCTTTCAAACCACTAAATTTGTGGTCATTTGTTACATCAGCCCTAGAATATAATACACCAGGAAAGCATCTGGCACACAACAGGCACTCAACAATGGCAGCTGTTAGTATTTGGATCCCATGTGGTCTCCTTCCCCCCAGGAGGCCTTGTCTTCTGGCGACCCACTGAGTCTCCTGGGGCCAGGCCTTCCCCTAGGTTGTCTCCAGGAGCAGGTTAAGGCATGGAGAGCAGGAGACAGGACCACAGTAGGAGCTAGAAAGCCCCTGGCTGGATGAAATGGGCAGTTCCCACTCATGCAGCATTTGACCATAAACAGCAAATAACAGCAATCATGGCATGACAGGCTCTGAGCTGAATGCTTCACACATCTTCCCTTCATTTAATCCTCTCGAGGACCCAAGGAAGGAGGCACTACAAACATCCCCATTTTACAGATCAGAAAACTGACACTTGGCAAGTTGAGTGGTTTGCCCAAAGCCACCCAGGTGGGTGCAGAGGAGCCAGATTTAGAAACCAGGTCTGTCTCCCCCAGAGCCTGTACTTAAAACTAGCTTAAAACAGTGCAGTTCACATTCGGGTCCACCTTCTGTCTTGCTCTTACCAGTTGCCTTGGGAGATGCATTGTTGAGCCCCTGTGGGAAGGGCTCTGGGAGCAGGTCTTGGCTCTTGTCACTTTAGCCTGAGAACCTGGACCGGAGATTTTATCAGCCTTTGCCTCAGTTTCCCCATGAACAAAATGTGATGAGCTTGCTTCACAGAGGGGCTACCAGGAGTAAATGAGACAATGTACAGAAAGGGGTACAGCATCTGGTACTGTACCTACTACAAGGCCTGCTTTACCAATGAGGAAGCCTGGGTTCCATGCAGGAACTCACCGGTCCCAGGTCTCTTGGGAGCTCTGATGCCTTGACCACCCCTCCCCTTCCACAGGACCAGCAGACTCCAGAGGCTGGGAGGGGGTGGGAGGCTATGGATTTGTGTCTAAGTTGTGGTGAGCCCAAGTCTTGGAGCAGCAGTTGCTTAGGTGGTCTGTAAGTTAACAGGTTCATTCACTCATTCATTCAAAATTCCTCTGCTTAAAAATCTGCCACTGGCTTTCTTCCCATAGAAGGAACTACAACCAAATTCCTTACTAGGCCCTCCCAAAGACCCTGGGCCTCCATTGTGGCTCATTCTTCAGCATGCTCACTTCTTACATCTTATGCACCAAGCTCTCTCCTGCCTCAGGGCCTTTGCACTTGCTTTCCCCTCTGCCAGGAACGCTCTGCTCCTGGTTCTACCTATGGCAGTTCCTTCCTGCTACTCAGTTCTCTGTTCAGATAACCTTCTCTCACTCCCATCTGTCACTTCATCTGCTAAATTTCTTCCTAGCATGTACTACTCCCTGAAATTATCTTCTCTGACATGTGAGCATTTTTTTGCTGTCTGTCTCTCTCCACCAGGATGGCAGCTCCACGACAGCAGGAACCACTTGTCTGTCAATATCCCAGCACCCCACAAGGGGCCAGATACCCAATAAATGAAGACATTTGTCTGACATATTGAGTTTAGGAGTAGAAAATGTTTACCAAACTGTAAAGAGGCCACAGTGATGGCTAATGGTGGGATGAGGGCGAGAGCCTGGCCTAGGGACCAAACCAGAGACTGGAAGCACGTGAGGGCAGGATGCCAGTTCAAATCCTCCGCCCGAGGTTCCAGCCCCCACCCAACCACAGGTCGCGGCGAGGCTGGGAGAGTCCCTGAGGCTCCACCGGTATCCCAAGGAAAGGTCCCCTACCCCCAGGGCCGCGGGCGGGCTGGGGGACGCGCAGGGGGGCGCGCAGGCCGCCAGAGGGTGCTGTCGCGGCGCGCACGGCCCACCTGGCGCCCGGGGCCGCGGGCGAGCGCAGCCAGGCCGCCCGGGAACTTTTTTCCTCTTGCTCTCGCTTTCCCTCTCCCCCCGCGCGTCGTTCGCCCGCCCGCCCGCTCGCTCTTCCTGTGCGGAGGAGATCGCATTTCCCCGCGGCATCCGCGGACACCAGGCTGGCCCGGCCGGTGCGCGGCCAGGGCCTGGTCCCCGCGCCGCCGGCTCCCCGCGCCCCCGGGCGACGCCCCCGCCCGCGGCTGGGCTCGGAGAGTCGAGTTGGAGAGCGAGACAGCGGCGAGGGCGCGAGGCGAGCGGAGCAGGCCGACCTGCGCGGCCCGAGCGCCGGCGCGAGGAGGGGGCCACACGGCCCGCCCTCCTTCCTGCCTGGCCGCGGGCCGGCCGGGCCGGCGCGCCCTGACCCCCATGGCCAGCCGAGCCTCCGGGCCGCGAAGTCGCAGCGCCAGACGCAGGGTCCCCGAGTGAGCGCGGGCGCCGAGGTGAGCACCGAGCGGTGGGGCGCGGGGAGCGCTGCCCCGGAGCGGGGACGGCGCGAGGCGTCGGGACCCAAGGCAGGGTGAGGGACCGAGGCGGGATCTCTGGGCGCGTTGGGCCGCACTGTGGGGAGTCCGCCGGGTCACTGCTTTGTGTGGTGTGGGGGGTGCGCGAGGTCACCGGATGGCCGTCTGGGAGCTACGGGGTGGGGGCGCCCTGCGCCACAGCTGAGGGTCTTAAGAAAGATCTGTGCTGCCGGCTGCGGTCGGTTCGTGGCGTGGGGACGCGAGAAGCGAGGGTCGGGTGGGCTGAGAGGTCCGCGTGCGCGGAGGCGCGGAGTGTTGCTGAGCGTGGGGTAGGGTCGCGGGGGCATTTGCACGCTGCCGGGGCGGGAGGGGAGATTTGTGAGTGCCTCCGCAGTGGGGGGCGGGAGCGACTTCTCTGTGTGGACTGGGGCCTGGCGTGGGAGCGAGGGCCTGTGAGGGCCGTGAGTGGGGAGGTGGGTGCGCAGGGCTATCTGCGGTGCCCCCACGCGGGCGGCTCGCCCAGGCCTGTGCGCAGGCCCGGCGAGCGGGCAGGAAGCGGCCCCGGAGGCCCCGGGAGCTCCGACGCGGCCCGACCCCGGGCCTGTGGGCCCTTCGGGGGCTGCCGTCACGGCCGGGGGCGCGGGACACGCGAGCCCTGTGTCCCCGGACAGCGGCGCGCCGGCCCGGTTCACAGCCCCGCGCCTTGGAGCAGGGTACCCGGGAGGAGGACCAGGGGGCCGGGCGCAAAGCGGCGTTGCCGAGCGCGGCGGGGCGAGGGGACTGCAGGACGCTAGGGTGACATTTGGAGCCTTGGTCGCGCCGAGGGCCGCCGAAGAGGGGTGGAGGGGAAGCGAAACACCAGTCAGGCCCGAGGCCGCGGCGGCCCCAGCTTCCTGAGGCGCCCGTTTTCCCACCGAGCCCGTTTCCCTTCGGGTGGGCCCTTGGTCCTCCTTAAACCCACGCCAGGGGCCGGAGTGCGGGCCCGAGGCGTGCCCTCCTCCTGGGAGCCCTCGGTGTGGGGGGAACGCTGGGGCCTCGGAGTAACAATGCGCTATTGGGGTTGCTGGGGGAGGGGAGGCGGTGCGCCTGAATGGCGGACCGCGGCCCAGAGCTTCCCCGCCCGCAGCACCTTTCCCATGGTGTCAGCAGGCTCTGATTGAAGGACGCACGCAAGACCCGCACGGTTACCTCCCGCCCAGAGTGCCCCGCCCCCGCCCCCGCGTGCCCCTTTTTTCTCTTCTAATGCAGCGATGTGTTGAGGATTCAAGGGCATTACATCTGGTTGCAATCCAGTTCCTTACCGCTGCTAGGCTGTTAAGACCTCACGCTGACGTCAGAGCCAGGGAATTACTTCTTTTTATTTTATCTTTTTTTAGTTGTCTGCTGCCCTGGGAGGGGAGGCGGGGGTCGGTTAGACACAGCTCTGAAGTGGAGGTACCAGTCCCACCGGAGCCCCAGGCTGGCCGTTCTGCTTCTCTCCCCCAATCCTGTCTTCCATACAGGCCTTGCTGTGTTGTGGGTCCCGCTCACCCTGCATGGGGGTAGCCCTGGCAGCATACTCAGTAGAGGCCCCTCCCAACTGACTGCAAAGCTGCCTTTCCAAGGGCTTCCCAGGGATGTGTACCTCGAGATGTGAAAGCTGGAAAGGAATCTTCGAGTTTCACACTGGCCCCCTTGACAGCCGAGTGGGCATATGGGGTCCCAGGAGCATCCAGGAGGAAATCCTCAGGAGCAAGGAGAAGTGGTCTTTTGGGTGATACAGAGGAGTGAACACAGACACTCTGGTCCAGGGGAGTCTTAACCAAAAATCTGGCAAAGCCTCTCACAGGCAAAAGCCTTGGAGGGCAGGAGAGTCATCAAGGTGTGTGGGCCCCAGAAGCCAACTGTGGAGTGAGCTAAATGGGACCTTTCCCAATAACCAGGCACCCCTCTGGCTTCTTCCTAAACTAAGGGAACTCCCCCACTCCAGAAGTGTCTTTCTCTCCTGGACCAGGAGGCCCTTGCAGGCAGGGCTCTTGTCTTATTCCTTTTTAGACTCCCAAGTCTAGGCCAGTGGCTTTAGAACTCTTGTCAGTAACCTGTAGTAAGAAATGCATCTTAGGTCACATCTCTGTTACCAACACCTCCCACCTCCCACCCCATTATATAACTGAAACAAAAGTTTTATGAGATAATTTTCTCTACTTCATCCACTGATCTGATGTTTTCTCTTCTAGCCTATTTTTTTTTTTAATTGTTGGTTACAACTCACTAAGTTGATTTCTCAGTCCACCTAATGGGCTATACCCAGAGTCTGAAAAATCAGGCGTAGGAAATGAATTTGGCTTCTATTCATTCAATAAACATTAGTTGAGGCCCTAACAAGTTCTCTCTTTTATAATTACTCAAGTAACACATAGATTTGTTCTTGTGTGAAAAATGCAAATAACCCAGAAGTCTAAGAGTAAAATCAAAAGTGTCCCCCACAGCTCAGCACAGGCTGCCCTAGTTAACAGCTGACTGTGCCCTTCCCACCTGGTGCTCATCATGCAGACATGTGTCATATACACGAATAGTTTGCTTTTACCCCAAATGAGAACTTACCTCAGGCTCTTATCCTCAACTCCCTTTTCCCTTTCCATTTGTCTTGGGGAGGTCGAGGGTGAGATTCTTTGGGGCAAGGATGTGAGCTGGCCCTTCACTCCACCACATACTTACCTCTCTGTGCCTCACTGTCCCTGTCTCTACAATGGAGATAATAATAGTACTGGCCTCACAGTAGTAGCAAAGATTTAATGAGCTAATCCATGTAAAGACAAAGTTTAGAACATTACTTGTCCCAACAAACACCAGTTGCCACCATCATCACTGTTATTAATGCTATTTTATTATTATCATAATCATTACCGTTCTATTTCCATGGCAGTCCATGTATGCACCTTGTTTTAATAGCATCTGTGGCTGTGCATGGCTATTTCTGCCCCCTCTACCATAGTGTGACTCCACAGGGAGGGTTGAGGTGGCAGTGTGTGCACCCAGTAGTGTACCCTGGCAGTGTTAATGTGGGAGAGGCACCTGAGCTCCCTGGCCCAAGAGAAGAGGTGTTTTCCAAGGACCCACCATTTTCGAAGGCCTGTGTTTAATGTATCTGCCTTCAAAAAGGTCACAGCCCAGTGGGTGACAGAGACCCTGAGAATATCTGAGGGGACCAGCATTGTCAGGGATCTGTGCCAGGTCTGGGTGGGAAACCGATCCCTCTGTGAAAGCACTGTTAGGTGCTACATGGACGCTGAGGCAAAGAGCACAGGGCAGAGTTGGGTAAGATTTGCCTGTGCAAAGAGGAACAGAGAGAGATGGAGCATAATTCTGTTCCAAGGTCAGGGGACAGCCAACCTGAGCTTTGGGGATTTGGGGGCAAGTATGCCCAGTCTTGGCCAGTCATCAGGGGCTTTGTGGAGGCAGGGGCTTCATGGAAGTGCTTCAAGCACAAGTGGGTGAGAATGAGAGAGGGGTTCCAGGCAGACACTGGCAAATCTTTAGAGGCTGGAATGGACATGGCCTGTGTCCTGTGGCCAAGTGTGGAGGAACTGGCTCTGAGGAGCAGTGGCACAAGAGGCTGGGCTGTTGCTGCACCCTCCTCACTGGCCTCCCTGCCACCATCCTGCCCCCTCCCAGGTGGGCCACACTATCAGAGTGATCTTTCTCAACCATAGCAGACAAGCCCAGGCTCTTGCTGCTTCTGAACAAAGGTCCAGTCCCTAGGGCTTCCCACACTACAGGGGCCCTTTCTGGCATCCTCCCCCTTACCTGCCCGCACTCAAACCCCCTTCTCCTCCTGTCACAGCACAGCCCTCCTTCCCAGGGTTCAGCTGTGTAATTCCCTACTTCTGTGCATTTGCCTGGACTGTTCCTATCACCTAGGATGTCCTTCACCTTCCTCCCTGCCTTCCAAGGCCAAAACAGACGTCCTGTCTCCTCCTCCTCTGACCTTTGAGGCAGAATGAGTCATCTCCCTTTGTCTGTACCCCTGGCATGGTGTGTATTATGGGATTATCTGTAATTCTGTCAGTGCTCTGTTCTCCTCACAAGGCTGGAGCAGCTAGGCCTGAAAGCATGCCTCTCCTCCCAGCCCTGCCAAGGGTGAGGCCAGGAACAAGGGAAACACTCAGAAATGTGTGCTGGCAGTAGGGCCAGGTGAGGTGGGGCAAGCCTCTGAGATCCTACCAGCAGCAGCATGCAGGACCTCTGCAGAGTCTGGGGCACTGGTCAGGGAATTCTGTTCTGTCAGACTTCAGAGGAGACAATGAGGCCAGAGGGGGCCCCAACCCTCCAGGCTGCTCACTGAGGGGCTGAGGAGAAACTGGCTTATCCTGTTTCCCCAGGGATTGAGGAGACATTTGAGGCAGAGCTGTGCCCTGTGCCTGGGTGGGTCACTGGGGATCTGAGACTGGAATGTGACACCAGAGAGGGGGTAGGGAGGGTGGGTGCCAGGGGCTGGAGGCATACAATGGGGCTTGCTTGGCAAAAAGAGACTTCACTCTATTAGTTCTTGAACCTGTGTGAAGAGTGTGTGTGTGGTGATGGGACACGGGCAGGGGACTTGGGGAAGGAGTGAGGGATGAAGGAGATGCCCTTGTTGGTGAGCTGTGTGCTTAGAAATGTGAAAGACCCAGGAGCACTGAGCCCCGCACAGCCACTGTCCACTCCTTCCTCAGGGGACATCCCCTTGGTATTTTCTCCTCTTAGCCCTATGCTCACACAGGGCCCCAGAAGTGAGCAAGCTGTGGTCTGGCCTTCCAGGCCCTCCAAGTCTAGGGGCCAGTGGCCAGAGAACATCCAGCGTCTGCACAAAGGGGTCAGGCTCAGGAGAGAAGCTGCCCAGGATGCCACGGAGGGCAGGAGTCCTGTGAGGAGGGGCAAGAGGGGTCCTTTGAAGAGGGAGACAGATGTAGCAGGGCCAAAGGGTGGGGGGGGGGCTGGAAATCCATTGTTAGGAGTTGTGGAGGCAGGAAGCCTGGGCTGGGGGGCATCTCCCCTCAGGCCTTGGTCTCAGCCATAAATTGAAGGAGGGTTAGTTTCTTTCAGACTGATGGTCACTGAGCCCAAGTCACATACCTCTAGGGGCTGAGAAAGTAGGGGGCACAGTGGAAAGGCTTACAGATGGGGGGAGGGGGCTCGCTTAGAACATGGACAGGCCCCAGACCGGGGGTCTCTGGAGGGCATGTGGGCTGCAGCAGAGCAAGGCCCCCTTCCTTGAGTGTCCTTCCTGTGCACAGGCATGGTGGAGAGTGGAAGAAGCACTGGGTCCAGGAACAGGTTTGGTTCCAACCGCTTTTCAGGCAAGTCACTTCCCTCTGAGCATTGGTTTCCTCTCCTGTCAAAAATGGAACATTAATTGCTGCAGGCATTAAATGCGATGGAGGTGTTGGCGTGTTGCGTGACCTGGGAAGCCAGGCCCTGAGCTCGAGGTCATAAACACAGGCTTTGCGGTGAGGTCAGCCTGCGTCCTCTCTGGGGCCCCATATCCAACCTTTACAATGTGCATAACTCCCGGCCCCTCTTGGTCACCCTGAGTAGAGATGGCTTACTCTTTTTGCTAAATTGCTGTTATTCCTCTTTTCCTGTTCTGCCAGGCTGCCTCTAAGCATTCCCTGTTGTAACATTGGCCAAAGGATGTTTCTTGTCCAGCCCGGTTGAGGGGTGGACTGAGTTAGTCTTTGTTACACAGTGGGGCAGGTGAGAATTACAGTTTTCTGGCCAGGGTTTCTGTTTCCAAAGGGACTTTGTCCTGGTGGCATGGACGGACCTCAGAAAGCATTCAGGAACCTATGCCCCCGGCGGCAGTGGATGTGGCTGTATAACTACAGACGTGTTAGATTGTTCATCATAAATCCCATCGTGAGTGCTTGATGCACACCAGGGTGCAGAAACACAGTCCTGAGTGCCGCAGGGCTCTGAAACAGCACAGTGGGTTCTGGGGTCCAGCTGCCTGGGCCCACATTCTGGCCTTGCCACTTACTAACTTGGATAAGTTGCTTATTTCTTTTTTTCAGTTTCTTCATCTGTAAAATGGGGGAAATGATTGCACCTACCTAAAGAAGTTGTTGGGAGGATTAATTAATTAATGCAAAGAAAATACTTAAAACAGAACCTGGTACATAGAAAGTGCTAAAGGCCTCATCATCTTTACTCCTGCCCTGAAGAATCACATGGACCAGTTCAGTGTGGGGGAATTGGTCCCAGGCAGGGCTCTCCTGAGAGGCTGACACCTGGCACGGGAGTGGTGGCCCTTCAAGTCCCTGTGGAGACAGGCTTTGAGTCAGTATTTGCCACCCCCAGCCTTGTTTGGACCCTTCCATGGTGACCTGGAACCGGTTTTCCTTGAGGGAGCTCATCGGGTAAGGCCTGATGTTGGGGAGGCCCTGTGGGAGCCTCACACTGGGAAAGGTCGAACTGCCTGGTACCAGGTGAGCTTCTGACTTTTAAGAAAGACTTGGTATCAAGTAATGAAGCTGAAAGTGTTTTCTGACTGAGATATCCTCATTGCAGAGGCCACCAAACCATGTCTGAGTGTCCTTAGGCAGGTCCCTCCAGCTCTCTGAGCTTGTTTCCTCGGTTGTCAAATAGTGAAAATAACAGTACCTACTCATAGCTTTGTTTTTAAGGGGATGCCTCTAAAGCACTTAGCTTTAGTGTTTAATAAATGTTGCCTATTAGTAATAATAAGAATTCTCAGAAAGTGTAAATGTAAATTAAAAACCACCTGAAAGATTTCCCCTTGGGGAATAGCTCTTTAGAGAAGTGAAGTTGTGAACTCTCCACTAGCCCAATAGGACAAGGCATTGTTACAATGACTGGAGAGACAATGAAGCCCAGAGAAGTTTAGCTACTTTAGCAAAGTTACACAGTAACCCAGGGGTGAGGGATGGGGAAGGCGGAACCAGAACTGGGACTGGATCAGGGGCTATCTGATGCTTTGAAAGTTATTCCTTCAACAAATAGTTATGGACAATCAACATTGATATACAGCTGAGGTCACAAGGGCCTATGTTCTGGAAGTTTCTGATCTGATAGGAAAAATGAAATTTGTACATGATTATGATAAGTGGTAAAGAGGTAAAATAAAAATTGCCTGTTCTACTGGGGAGGGGAAAGGAGATATGCATTCATTCATTTGGTGGGGAACTGCCAGACCTTAGAGCAGTGATTCTCATTTACAGGCAAGTTTATCTCTCAGGGAACATTTGGGCCATATCTAGAGATGTTTTTGTCTCAACTGGTGAGATGCTGGCATCTAGTGGGTAGAGGCTAGGGATGCTGGTCAACACCCTAGGGTGGGTACACAGGACCCCCCACAACAAATTGGCTCAAAATGTCAACAGTGCCAAGGCTGTTGCAAAGCCTGGCCTTGGAGAAACATTAGTGGCAAAACAGATGTTGCCCCTGCCCTTTTGAAGCTTACTAGTCAGTAGGTGGGCAGACATTAAAGAAATAATCACACAAATGTGGATTTCATAGTCATTGTGTTGTAAGAGGCTTTCCACTCCATGGAGGGGAGGCCTTTCCAGGCTGAGGCACAGCCCAAGCAAAGGCTCAGAGGCAGAAAGTCAAAGGGTGTGTGATGGGAAGGGTAGACACCTGTGAGTGGTGTCTGGGGGAGACAGCAGAAAATGACCCAGCCTCAGTGGCTTGCAGAGGGGGAGAAGATGAAGGCCTGGAGGAGCTCTCACCTTCTACCCGGGGTTCCCAGCACGCTGGGCTATGAGCCCCTGAGCTGAGAGAGCCTGCCCCGGCCTGGTGGGTGGGAGGGTGTGCTGCCCTCCGTGGGGACCCAGCCTCTGCCCTTTCTCTCATTTGCATCCCTCTGATAGGTGGGAAAGAGAAGCAGGAAAAAAAGAAAAAGAGGAAGAACAATATTTTCATTTCAAACATAGATAGGGGTGGGGGTGATAGGAAGGAATCCGGTTTAAGGTACCTTTGAGACAAGCACAGAAAATCCCCACTGTGGCCTGAAATAGCACTAAAAACAGACATTTTGCCAAATCAGACCTAACTGAGTGGCTCTCTCTTCTTGAGTCCAGCAGGATGTGGACAGAGCTGGCTTTCCCCTGGGGACCCTGCCCTGGCTAATTAAACAGAGAGGCCCTAGTCTCCCCAGCAGGAGCAGGACAGGAGCCTGGGGAGCTCAGCATGACAACCCTCTGGTCTCAGCCTGAATGTTCCAGAGGGCCAGAAATGGTCAATGTGGGGGATGCCTGGCAGCAAGGCCAGATGGGTGAAAGCAGAGGTGGGAGAGGCTGGTTCTTATGATCACTGAATGTCTGTCTTTTTTGGATACCAAAAAGGGTCACAGAGAAAGCCATCATTTAATGAGTGCCTGCTATTTTACTGGGCATTGGGTGGTCCTCTCTGAGCTTTATTAACTGCCCTATACTGATTGTCGGAAACTGAAGCTCAGAGAGATTAAGTGACCTGCTTGAGTTCATAGGGACCAAGTGGCAGAACTGAGATTGCACTCCACATCTGTTGGGCTCCAAAGCCAGGCCTGGCTTGCTCCTCACCACACCCCTCCTCATGGTGGCCACTCATCCATTCAGCAGATCATCACCCACTGGTGAAATAATACTGCAACCTGGTAGGAAGTTTTAGGGCTTGGACTTCGACAGAAGTGAGCTTGAAATCTGACTTAGGGCAATTTGTCTCTGTGGCTTTCTCTCTTGGAGCCTTCTGTCATCTTTCACGGGGGCATAATCATGCCTTTATCCAGGACTTGCTGTAAGGTTAAACTCTGCATGGAAGGGGACAGACAAGAAGGGGAAGAGAGAGGCCCAGGGAGGTTAGGACCTGCCTTGGGCCACCCAGTGTGGCAGGGTGCAATTAAAGAGCCTGGGTAGAGGGAACCAGGCGAGACTGTGGTATCTCTGTGTAATATCAGTGTTGGGTTTCTTTATTTGAATGAGGAGAAAAGGCAGCCCCCTACTCTGCAGGTAGAGAAGGTGGTGTGGAATGCGGGTGTTTATTTTTCTTTGCTTGTGAAAGCCCTGATTCAGCTCAGGCTGGTAGGGCTTCCCAAGACAGTGCAGAGGGTGCCCACCATGAAGAAGGATTTGCCCAGGTGGTGGGCACTGAGGGCACTTGTCAAGTAGGGTCTCCAATGCAGCCTGTAGGCTCTCATCCCAGAGCCTCGGATACCTGGGAACCCCAGAAAGAGTGGGTGAGGGCCATGAAAATGGGGCATCCCTTTATCTCCTCCAATTCAGCCCTCCTGGTCCCATTCATCTCGTTATCTCCTGGCAGCCGGTGGGTTGCTGAGAAATCAGCGGCAGCCTTCCTGGTTGACAGACAAACTAAGCCTTGCTCACAAAAGGAGAGGGGAGGTTGGCTGGGCCTGTCTGGCTTCCCTCCCCTTGTCCCAGCCTTTGGCTGCAGGCATCTCTCCCATTCTGCTCAGCCAGCACCCTACATTCTGAGAGGCAGCAAAGGGGCTGCAAAGTCACTGTGGCCCCAGCTGCGTGCCCTCTGCACTGGGGAGGTGGATTCAAGGAATGACAGGGTGACTGTGAGGCAGGGATTGCTGGAATGGCTGCCCCCTCCTTCCCTTCAGTTGGCTGGGAAGGCAGCTTGGAGAGGAAGCCAGGTCGGCAGGTAGCAGAGAAAGACATTGGTTCCAGGGGGAGCAGTAGAGAAAGCAAACAAACAGGGCTTTGTGTGGCTGAGGATTGGCGTCTCAGAAGGGAAGCCAGGCCTGTGGTAGTGGGGAGGAGGAGGGGATAGGAGTTCAGGGCATTGCTCTGGGCCTGAGATAGGTGGCTGGACCAGCCTAGGCAGGGAGCAGGGAGCGTCACTGACTCTGTGGACAGACATCCGGAGTCACAGCTTGGCTGAGACCCAGCTCTGCCACTTCACTCCCTAACAGATCTGGGCTTGTTTGCCCACCATACCTGGGTGAAGTCACTCACGTGCAGGACTTGGGAAAAGTCACGTGGCCTGACTGGTCTGGCCCACAGGGTGTGAGCTCCCATCCTACCCTTGTCCCTGCTGTGGGAGGACAAAGGGTAAAGGGGGATCAGGGTCTGCTTCCGGAGCAGTCAGCTTAGCTGGGTCTCCTGGATGGGTAGAGATGGCCGATGAAAACTGTGGGCACTTTGGGGGCTTTAACGGCAGCCATGAGGAGAAACATGTTCGTGCTGTTCAGTAACAGGTGCCTGGGGTGTAGGTGGATGGAGGCTGGCATCTCAAGGCCCCCTTCGTTGGGGGTGGAGGTGCACCAAATTGGGGAAAACAGAGCCAGGACGCCCAGGCCATCTTGTGGAGCGGGTGAGGGGCCATCCGGGAGGTGTGGTGTGTGTGTCAAATCCTGCACCCTAGCGAGGTTAGTCCCGACCCGGCGCGCCTCCGGGGACAGAGCAGGGCCCCGGGCCTCGGGCTTAAGTCTTAGGTAGGAGCTCTCAGGCCAGACACTGGCAGCTGATTATGGCCTCCGGGGCCATTTCCTCTGCTCTAGCCGACCTCGAGAGGGGGCGGTGAGAGGGCAAACGCCCGCGCTTCCTGCCCGCCCCTCCGAGCGCCTGCCTCCAACGGCATCCACCATTTTGGCCACGCCGGGGCCTCCTCCGCGACATCAGACCCAACCAGCCCCTGCCGGCTGGATCCGCGACGCCGGGAGCTGCCAGGGCGTCGCACCGCGGAGGCAGAGCGGGAGACGGGGCGGGCCGCCCCGTCGCCATGGCAACACCCGTCCCGGCGTGCTCCGCGGGGCCGCTGGGCGGGGCGGCCCTAGCCCCGCCCCCTCAGCAAGCCGCGTTTTTCCGGGAACCCGGAGCTGTGGGCGGTGGCTCCTAGCTGGGGCGCTGCGGCCACCCTCTGTGGGCGTTAGCTCCCGGCTTCAGGGGGAGCGAGAAGCCAATGCCTGGAGCCTGGGTCATGGGGAGGCTGCACGCCCCCACTCCCGCCTCCAGGCCGCGCTGCCCCCGAGCTGTCGGCTCAGGGCCTGCAGCTCTGCCCTTCCCTGGGGCTGCCCAACGGCCCTACCTCCGCCCTAGGGCCAGCGAAAGCTGGGGCTGGGAATGCACACACCCACGCCTACCCACACCCTCGCGTCCAGGCCTGGACTCTGCCACCCAGCCGGCCTCCCTCCAGCGCAGGAGTACAGGCCTCCCCTACTTGGCAGCTGACTGACTGCCTGCCCAGGAGGCACATTCCTACCTCCTGAGCTCGGACACCCCTCCCGCCCTGGGGGCATCCTTTTCCGGCACTTTGCTGCCAAGCCAGCCCTGCCTACCCCCACCCGCCTTCTCAAGTGTTAAGTCCCGAATGGGTCAGTCACTCCAGGGCCACCTTTCCCCTGGTCTCTTCAGAGTCACCCACTCAGCTGACCTCTGTTCGCCCCAGCTTGGATTGGGCAGGCAACAAATTTTATTGCAGCCTTTCAGTCGTGGAAGGGAGACTGTGTGCCTGTTTAGCAGCTGTTCTCTGGCCTTTCTTGAGCCTCACCCAGGGCACATGCGCAAGGAGAGTGAGAAGGGGCCTCAGTTGCAGCAAGGACTCAGGCTTGATATCAAAGAGAACTTCCCAGCCTTAAGCATTTGCTTTTTAATGAAATAATCGGATTGTTAATATGTTGATTTTAGAAAAACCTAAAAATGCAGGAAAACAAGTAAAAATCCTCTATAATTCCACCCCTAGGACATAGCCACTGTCAATATTTTTTTCTCTAGAACTATGATAAACAATATATGACAAACATAATAAATATAAATTATAGAGTCATGCTGTATATTTGGTTTTGTAAAGCACTTGGTGGTTTTAATAGCTTTTTTTTTCTCACTATAAAAGGAGGACAGGCTTATTATAGACTTTTGGAAAATATGACAAGTTAAAAGAAAAACAATTCACCCATTCTCCAAAGGCGGCTACATGTGACTTTTTTTTGCCCTTGCTCATGGGGTTTTCGTCTGTTTAAGTATGCTGTCACTCCTGTATATTCCATTTGATATCCTACTTTTCTCACTTATTGTTGTATAACAGGCTGCTTTTTCTTGAGCCTATGGGAGTCTTGAGAAAACTGAAACCATATTCTTGGGAGAGCTTCAGAAAGAAGCCAAAGTGGATGGTCCCTGTTCATCCTCTTTCCATCTTGGGCCCACAGAAGACCTTCCTTGTTACCACTAACCTCTGATAAGCAGCTTGGGCCAGGGCATCATGCTGGCTGTGGCCCAGGAGGCCACTTAGCCTGGACAAGGACATTGAAGACTCATGGCCCCAGACTCCAGAGGCAAATGGCTTTAATGGGCCCTGGATGCTCAAGGCTACATCGAGGCTCAGGGCTCAGCCTTGTTCTGGGCCTCCTTTCCCCAGCCATGCTAAGACCCAAAGGCCCCTTGTTGGTCCTGTGAACCACCTCTATTCCCTTGCTACATCCAGGTCCTCAGCTTTCCCTGGGGTCATGCGGGCCTGGCTGCAGGCACAGCCTCCCTCTGCCTAGCTGCCCCTCAGGCCTAGCTACAAGCTGCCCTTGTGCCTGCCCATCCCTGCTGCCAGTCCTCTTCTCCCTCATTCCTGAACGGTTCAATTCTAACACATCCAAGCCCTGTGTGAAACAGGCCTTGGAAAATCACAGTTACCATGGATGGACTAGCATTTAAAAGGCATCTAAGACTTGGGAGAAAAAGCCAAAGAGACAAGAGAATGCAGGGTCCTGTCTCAGAGCAGCAGCTGGATTTAATGGCAGAAAATCACAGAATGTCCCTTTCCCTGGGAATAACACCACTGGCAGAGGGGCAGTGTGTGGGGTACCAGACATCATGCCCCACTAGCCACCACCTGCCACTACTGCAATGTGTTCTCTGAAATGAAAAAATGGAGGAGGGATGTGAGTCTACAGCCAGTGGCCTTGTAAATTATATTCTCTTAACAGGTTTATTCATTTATAAAATATTTAAGACCTGTTTCACTTTACCTATAGCAAGGAGGCAGCCAGGTTGGGGCTGAGATTGATGGTCTGAACATGATTTATTTATCTGGATTTGCTCTTCTGGGCTGGGCACCACCTGCCATGTGGAATTTAATGAAGTAGCAAGATGGGTGTGTATCTGCTTGTGTTCCTTGGCTTGGGGTGTGTGCGGTGTGTCTGTGTCCATTTTCAGGGGGCATTCTGTATGTGGGCAGGTGATGGTCCTTGCATGGCTGCTTCCAGGCACATGTATGAGTCTGTGTTGGATTGCTGAGTATGTGCCTGTGTGTGTGATGTGTGTTTACAGTAGAGGTGTCTGTGTGACTGGGATCAATGTGTGGTTATATGTGTGTGTCTGGGTTGGGGAAATGAATTAGAGGAATGGGTTTGTCTTGAGCATGTTGTGGGTGCTCATATGTACACTGGTGTCCATGATGGGGTGGTTTGTGTATCTGTGTTTGTAGGTGGGGGACCCATTTGTGTGGCTGAGTGTCTGTGTGTTCATGTGTATGTCCTGGTGTGAGGATTTTTCCCATCTTCTTTTTGTTAGTGGTGGAAGCATTGGCCACTGGCTCATTGCCCGGCATCTGCTTTTGCCCCTAGCCCTGGGTACTGGGAGGAACCTGATGCCTGGAAAACCTGAATTCTGTGACCCCTAAGTGGCTGGGCCTCAGGCTCCAGGAAGGACTGGCTTTGGGGGCTGAAGGCACACTGACAATCCCTGACCCTCTTTTAGCAGAACCAGGTCTTTCCTGCCTGTGGCTCAGAGACCAGAGGAAACTCCAAGGTCAAGGTGGTCCAGGCCCACATTTTACAGATGGGGAAACTGAGGTCCAGAGGCCATACAGCCAGCTAGTGGCTGTGCCAGGACCCTAACGCGGAGCATGGTTCCTGCACCGGTCCTTGCTCTGGGGTGGCCCCTCCTTGGGCCTCAGCTCCCTCTCCTGTTACACAGAGGTGGTGTGACATTGCTCCTCTCTCACAGAGCCTCAGGACTGTAGAGGCCAAGGTGGAGGACACAGGGGAGTTGATGGAGGTTCACTCTGCAGTCAGGTCCAGCCAGGAGGCAGACAGCAAGAGCAGCAAGGAATGGGGAAGATCCCCACCCTGCATCCTGAGTCCCAGGGGCAAGCCCCAGCTGTGGGGGTGATTCTGAACTTGGGGTGTCTCTGTCTCTTCCCCAGCCACAGTGCCTGGCCCAGATGGGGCCCAGGAGCCTGGGAAGTAGCAGGCACTTGGTTTTCCTTAGCCTTGTGACAGCCCTCAGCTCCTCCTCCCCCCCAGCAGCTAATGTGTCTGTCACTACTTTCCTAATGAGGCTGCTGAGGGCCCCTCTGGGACAGATACCTTTGCAGACCAGCTGGCAGCTGAGGGGGTGGGCCAGCTTCAGGGTCAGGCTGGGAAGAAGGGGGCCTGGCCCCTCTCCTGCCTGCGGGGGCATCAAGGCCCATCCTGGCCCCAAGCCAGCTGTGTTGGGGTAGGGGGCTGCCGGAGGGCTTGGAGAGGCAGGAAAGCACACACCAGGCATGCATTTTTCTTTGGCATTGTGACTGTTTATAGTAATAATAGTTCATCTGGTCAGCAGGCATGTTTGCAGGCCGACTGTGTGCCAGGACTGAAATCAGCCATGATTTATCTGGGGGTGTTCATAATCCCTGCCCTCGGAGGAAGTGTGGCCAAGGGGAGAAAGCCAGTACTCAAACAGTCAAGTTATTTGCATCATTATACATTCATGTATGGGAGTGCATATTTATCACAAGCCAAGACAGAGGCATGATTACGTGCAGAGCTTCTCTTGGATAGAGGGCATCCTGTGCCTAGGCTGCAGGCTGCTATGGGTACCTGCTAAAGGCTCCTGTAGGACTGAATGCCTCAGGAGAACCAGGATTCTTGCTGTGTGACCCCAGGCAACTGCCCACCTTTTCTGGGTTCCTCAGGCACTAGAAGTGTCCATCTAGCTCCATCACCTGAGTGGAGGTGTTTCAGGCAGCCTGTGTCTCCTTTCCCAGTGCTCTTTGCCTTTCCCATCAGGGCTTTAAAGATGTCTGTCTGCAACACCCTTGACTTTGGAATGCCTGAGGCACTGCCCCAGGGGACACCGGGAACCACAGAGAAGCATAGCTGACTCAAGCCCCACCTGCCACTTCCTCTTAGCCCTTTTGCTCTCACAGAGCCACCCCTGAGCAGAAGGAAGCATGGAAGAGAAGAAATCTGGAGTCAGTCCCTGTTTCCCCCCACCATGAGAAAGGGAGGCATTTATTCACACATTCACTTATTCATTGCTCAGCTAGTATTTCTTGAACGCCAACTAATTGCCAGGTGTTAGAGGGAGGTGGCAAACTGATTGTCCTCCTGCCACAGCTGGTCCATAGACCCATTCTGAAGGCCTTCCCAGTGTTTGGTGGAGGGCAGGGTGGGGACTCAAATGAGTTGCCAGTGAGTCATTTGTATTCCCATACATTTCACCCCCAATTTCCAGTTTACAGTTTATCTGTATTATTACAGCGTGCTTCCCCCAAGGCCATGACTGGTAGCACTGGCTATAGTCTGACACCCAGTTAGGGTGGGATGGCACGACCTCCACCTAGCCACAGCCCCCACCCCTCCTTGGTAAGCCCTCCTGTCCTCCTCACACAGGTAGGGTGGTTTCCTGGTTTTGAGGCCAGCCTCAGGAGCCAGAGTGCCCAGGTTCAAATCCTCCCATTGGCTTTTTACCAGCTCTGGGACCTCAGGCCAATCCAAGGCCCTCTCCAAGCCTCAGTTTCCTCCTCTGTAAGACGAGGATCACAATAGTAAGTACTCATTAGCTCTGGGGATTGCTGAGGGGCATTAAGTGAGAGTATTTCTGCTAAGTGCCTAGAATGAGCTGAAGCGTTGTCGCTGTTAATATTGTGTTGAATAAAGGAACCACTTGCAGGCTGAGACCTGGGTTCTGACTCTGCCATTGCAGGACCTTGTGCGAGTCACATGGCAACTCCTTGGGAAAGAGACACCTGCCCTCTCTATTGGGCCCCCTCTCTCGCCCTCCAGAAACATATTCTTGGGACCTGGGCTGGGCCCCTGAGGTCGGGTGGAAGCCCACACCCCGCTTCCCAGGCCCGGGCCCCTGCAACCCTGCCCCTGTCCCCGGAGCCCCCAGGGTGGCCGGCCCGCCGCCCTTGGCACTCGCCCACTGCCCTCGCTGGGGTTGCCGCCATCAAAGCGCCTCCTCGTTTTTATGCTAATGAGCTGCATTAATGCTTAATGGCCGCGAACGCGCGGTTTAATTGCACCTGCCCGGGCCGGAGGCGCGGCCGGCCGCGGAAGCAGCTGCGCGCCCTCTGTACGGCCTTAATTACCTGGAACACGGTGCCCGGAGGGGAGGCGCGGCGGCTGCGGGCTGGACTCTGACGGACGGACGGCCCCACTCGTCCTCGCAGCGCGCGTGGAGACGCCGGCCTAGCCGGCTCGTGTAATTAATTCACCGCTCTGCCTCGGCGGAGACCTGCTCTGCCTGCTGCGGCCGGCTCTCCGCTCTCCCTCCGGCCCGGCCATCTTTGGCTTGGCGTTCAAGGCTCTTCGGAACCGTCTGCTGCCCACCGGCCCGGCGCCTCCCTGTTTCGACCACCGGGTGGTTGATTGCTCTGTGACCTCCCCGAGGCCCCGAAGCCTCTCTGCCTTACCTCCCCTGCCTTACAGAAGCTGTGCTCGCTGTCTGGAACAAAGGCCCCTCTCCTCCTAC